CTCCACCTACAGCATCTGGATTTCTGACTCTTAATGAAGAATAACACAGACATTAATGTAGGAGGTATGGGAAATGGTGCCAAAAATCCCAGTTTAAAATTAAACATTTCTGGGCCTCTCTGGTGGCAAAAAGGGTTAAGTCACAGCACTATGAAACTATCCTCAGCCTCTGCAGCACAAGTTCGATCCCCAGCCAGGGAGCTTCCCACATGGTGCAGCAGACCTCTCTTGAGTCACCAGCTGCTCCCCTCAGCAGTGTATTTCAGTCAATCTGCCTGTTCTGCTCCCCACTCTGTCTCAGGTGAATCCTCTCACCCTCCGCACCTCTGGTCTGCACCCCAGTTCTTATATGTATAAATAAATAAATCTTTTTAAAAAATAAACATTTTTGTGCATCCAGGATCAGGGGGCGAGGGACCAGCCTCTCAGCACCATGGCTGCCCACAGCCATTTGCATTTCCCCCTCAAGGCATCAGCTTCTCCAAGAACAGTCTCCAGAGAGTCTGTCTTGACACCGCTGGCAGTTTCCACAACAGCACTTGCTTTGCACAGTGACAGTTCACCAACAGAGCAGTGGCCAGTGTAGGGGAGCGGGCATTTAACCCCTCTCTGTGGGCCCCTGCCTCTGGCCCAAGCTCCTTCTCCACCCACCTGCTGGATCAAGGTAGGCAGACAAATGCAGAGCCATCCCCAGGCCGACCCAGCAAGAGCAGGGGAGCAGGGGAAGACCACCAGGGAGGACAGCTTTGGACTGGACAACCTCATGTCCTGCTGGACACCGTTCCTAAGCTACCCCATTTATTTCCAATAATGGAGAAAAAGAATTGTTCAATAAACATTGAAGAGAAAATGGTTTGTTTTGGAAAAAATGGGGCCTGTCCTATAGAAACTCTAGCTGCCTTTGTTAGAAATGAGAAGGCTGAGGGCCTCCCTGATAGTGCAAGGGGTTAAATCCGCAGCCTCTGCTGCAGAAGTTCCATCTGACCCACATGGCGCAGGAGACCCCCTCCTGTCTCACCTGCTGCGCCTGTTCTGCTCCCCACTCTGTCTCTGGTGAATCCTCTCACCCCCAGCACCTCTTGCATGCATAAATAAATAAATCTTAAAAAAAAAAAAAGAAACGAGAAGGCTGAAAGAAAATGCATACGGAGATTTAGATGATCCTGAGAGTTGAAAGGAAGGCTATATCACAAAGAGAAGAAACCAAAAAGAAAAGCTCCATATAATAAATGATATATAAATTTAAACTGAACAAAATTAAGAAAGAAATCAATATCTGGGGAAAATAGCATAAGCACTATTACTATTATTTCAAAGACATAAATGCCTCATAAGAACAATGTACAATCTATTGATAGACAATTCAAAGAAATACAATAGATGGTCTATAGAAACTTTTTAAAGTTCCATCTTTGTAAATTAAATACATTCTAATTAAAACTTTGATATATTTAACCTATCAACTTGGAAAAGTAAATGTTATCCAGCATTGTTGACAATGGAATACGCACATCAATTGCTTTCAAGAGGGCAAGAAAATAAGCACCCAGATTGCTATCAAGAGGGCAAATTGATGCAATCCTGTTGGAAAACAATCTGGATTTTCACCAGCTGTTCTACTTTGGGGAATATGGGCAGTGCACTAAATACGGAGCAACAAAATAGATGGGCAGAGCCAGGAGTTACAACTTAACAGAGAAAAACTGGTCAACAATAAGAAGAGACTGCATTCATTGCAATCACTAAATGTTAAAAATTATTTGATGCCATGAATAAATTTTAGCCATTCAAAAGGATTTATTTAGTCTTACAGAAAAGAGAAAGAGTGCGCGCGAGTGTGCACACACGCGGCAGATGGAGGTTCAGGGGAGCACCAAAATATCAGCAGGTGACCACAGCCAACAGAAACAAAGCATCCTTATTCCTTTCTTTTTCTATCATTTCAATTTTCTTACAAAAGTAGAAAAAATGTACAATTTTCAAAACTCTGCAACAATTTTCAACTGAGTCTCCTCTTAGGCCCCAAGTCAAACTGTTCTGTAAAGATACCAAAATCTCCAATAGGTCAAGCTGGTAAACATTCTCCTTTGGGGAGGCAGCCAGCAGGTCCCACCTTCCGAACGCAGATCAAATTTGAGAAGAAAAGCAAACACCCAGTGAGCAGGTGATATCCCGGTTACTCTAGGTGGGCCTAGTTTCTGCCTCCTCTGGGCCTAGCTCTCCCTGGAGGGGGTCCCTCACCTTTCCAGCCCACAGCCAGAGGGGTGCACAAGGTGATCACTATGGAACCTCTGACGTTAACATTTCTCAAACTACAGACAGTGAATATATAGGACTTCATTTGCACTTGTCGCTTTTACGTGTAACAATGCCAGCGGAGGGGTGGCTTAAAGCAGGGAGCCAGGAGCCACCTGCACACAGAGTCACCTGCCTTTAACCCCCACCCGAGTTTCTTATTTTACAGAATTGGTCTGGAACGGGTGCAGAAGTGGCCTTTCCAGCAGCTCCCAGGTGAGGGGGAGGCCTCCCGTCTGGGTCTGATACTTTGAGAACAGCTACCCGCATAAGCTGGGTAATAGATACCGAAGTGCCGAGGGCACAGACTTGCCTGGGAGAACGAAGCTGTGCCTGGAATAACCCTAGGCCTTTAGGAACAAGGACCTAATTGGTACAGGGCAGTACAGCGGCCCAAACACAGGCCCAGGAGCCCCAGACTACCTGCTGGGGGATCCTGAGCCACCACTGTGTGACCCCAGGCAACTTGCTCAACCTCTCTGGTTTTGTGCCTTCCAGTGTAAAACAGCGACTGCCTCCCCCTCCCGCAGGGAGACCAGAAATGGCACCATCCCATTTCTACCTGCATGAGCACATTTTGACACTCCACAAAGAGAAAGTGTTTAAAGAGGCCCTGGCCCTCCCAGGCGCTGGATGTTTGCCTGCTTGTTATTATTCCCAGGAGCCACACCTACATTCCTCCTCCTAGTACCTTCCTCTTTCCTTAAGGGCCACTAAGCATCAAGAAACGCTCCTACTGCCCGTACTGAAGGCATTGTGAGCAAAACATGGGCAGGAACACTCACCCCGCGGGGTCCCCCAGGCTTCCCATAAAAAGTGGAAAATATCAGAATACGGCGTAAAGCGGAGAGGGCAGAGCTTGGGAAACAAAAGATCTAATAATCAACCAGGTGTGATGAAAACCCGCGGCCGCAGGGCCCCCTCGTTAGACGTCGCGGCTCCTGGACCGTAGCTGAGTTTACCTGTCTGAGCCACGTCTTCACCTGTGCTTCCTCCCAACTCAGAGGCCCTGCCACGGTTGTAGGAGACACCCCTGGGGAGGACCACCTGCATCACACCGTGCGTCCCTTCTCTCCAGGCGCAACACCCCGGGACCCCCCACAGGTTGCGGTGACCCCTTCCTTACAGAGATCCTCAAAGCTGGAGGTGAAAATATTCACACTAGCAAAGAGCCGGGTCAAAGACGAACTCCGGCTGTGGTTACGCGTGATCCCAGCCCAGAGCAAAGGGGGTTGGGGGGAACCCGTGTCTCCGCTCAGTCTAAAAGGACAAAGCGAGTTTGTGACCCAATGAAATCTGCCACAACGACAGACCCAGGTGCACCGTGAGACCCACGCGGGGAGAGCAACAGCCAAGGTCCTGCAGACGGACGCGCGCACCAGAGGGCGTCGTGGGGGCGCAGCTGTCACTCAGGGGACCTGGGAAGCGGGGGGACGCGGCTACGGGGAGGCGGCGCGGTCCAGGGCACCCCCGGGCTCGAGCTGCGACTGGATAAAGGACGCTGCTCAACTGCCTCCTTAGGGGAAAAGCTTCCAGAGCCGCGAATGGCTTGGGCGAGGGCGGCTCCGCGTGGGGCGCGGGGCTCGGGTCTGCTCTCGGGCGGGGCGGGCCAGGGCTCCCCACCTCGCCGCGCGCGCGCTCCGCCGCCCAGGCTCCTGCTCCCGCGGCTGCGCCGGGCCCGCGAGGTGGAGGCGCCGCGAGCGAGCGCGCAGCCCTGCGTGCGCCCCGGCCCGGGTGCGTCTCCGCGGCCGCCCCCCAGCCCTGCAGCCCGGCGCGCGGGGCGCGGGCGGGGCCGCGCGGCCGGCGTGGGGCGGCCCTCCCCGGCGGGAACCCGGCGGCCGCGCGGCCTCGCCCCGAGGTCCGCCCGCCACCCCCCGAGGGCGCGCGCAGCGCCGGGCGCGCGCGGGTGTCGCGGCTGGGGCGGCGCTCACCAGAAGAACACGCGCGAGCAGAGGTTGGCGTCCTGCAGCGGGTTGGGCTTCACCTCCGGGTACACCGGCAGCATCCTGCCGGCCGGGGCGCGCGCGCGGCGCCTGCAGCTCCGGGGGCGCCGGGGGGGGGCGGGGGCGCGGCGGCCGCGCGCGGGGCTCGCGGGGGCCCGGCCGCTGCGCTTCCGGGAGCCGAGCGCCCGCGGCCCGCCCCGTCCCCGCCTCCCGGGCCGCCGCGGACCGAGAGCCGGACCCGGGAGCCGGTGCCGGGAGCGGCGCGCCGCGCGCGGGGCGACCCGGGGCGGCGGCGCCCCGAGGCTGGGGCCGGAGCAGGTGCTGGGGCTGGAGCGGGCGCCGCTGGCTGGGGCGGGTCGTGGCCACCCGGCGCGGAGGCGCCCACGTGCGCGCAGCGGAGGCGGCTGCGAACTTGGCCTAAGGAGGCGCGCGGAGCCGGAGCACCGGCCCAGAAGATGGAAGGAAGCGAGGAGGCGCCGGCTCTGCCCGCCCCCGCGGCTCGGGAACGCCCTCTGGGCTGCGGCTTGCGCCGGCTCCGGAGAAGCCGCCCCGGCTGGGGCTGCCCACCCCCTGGGCGCGCTGCCCTCCTCAGGACCAAAGATGGGCGCGCGGGAGCGTGTCCAGCCTGCGGGCCGAGCTTTTGGCCTGCGATCGCGCAGGGTTCGGCAGCGTGTCTTTGCAGAATGGAAAGGTAACCCGAGATCCCGGGGGGAAGTCAAAGGGTTTGCACGCTGCCTTTGGGGCTGACTTTTGGCAACTCACGTGTGACATTTTGGGAGGTGACCTCTGTCCGCTTCTTGCTGCGCTCTTCGGTGGGGGAAAAGGGATGAGAGAGGAGACGAGACGGCCTTAGGATTTCCTTGATCGTACCCTCCTCCTAGCTAACAGGGGCCAAGGGAACTTAGGCTGCAGAACACAGGTCAGGTGCCTTACTGGGGGCCTTCGCTCACTGTCACTAACGGTGAAAGTGTTGTCCTCTGTGACGAAATGAGGCTCAAGGACAGAACCTGCCCAGGTCTTGGAGTCAGTCAGTGATGAAACCCGATTCCCATGAAGGTCGGAGTCCAGCCAGATCGGGACTCCGGTGTGCATGAAAAATACCTGTGGGCCTCCCCGGTGGCGCAGCGGTTGAGCGCTGGGTTGCGAAGCTGCGCGCGGCCTCTGCGGTGCGGTGCCGGTTCGATCCCCGGCTGCTCCCCGGCCACCGGAGGAGGGTCCCACATGGCGTGCAGACCTCTCCTGCCGCCCGCTGCTCCCCTCAGCAGTGTCCTTCGGTCCTTCTGCCTGCTCTGCTCCCCGCTCTGGCTCTGGTGAATTCTCTCACCCTCCCGCGCTTCTGACTGTACCCAGTGCATGTATAAACAAAACAAACAAACAAACCAGCAAACAAATAAATAAAGCATGCCTCTATAAAAAAAAAAAAAAAAAAAAAGAAAAATACCTGTGATACTGAATGAATGAATGAATGAATGAATGAATGAATGAATGAATGAAAGAAATACAAAATCCTGGAATCACACTCCTCAATGAAAAGACAGAATGCTGGAATCACACTCTTAAGTCTTTGGTTATGTGTGTGGCCAGCTCAGAAGCTTCTTTTCCCTTGAGTCTTCAATTTAAAAAAGACTCAAAGTTACAAGTTTTAACTGAAATGATGTTATTAATACTGTCTTTTGTCTGTATTATGTGAGACAATACTTCTGGAAACAGCCATGCTGAGGATAGAGTTGCTATTTCATGAGTACCTGACATTGGTAAGAGTAATTCTTGGATGATTTCAACATAAGAAAGGAAAATCGGGCCTCCCTGGTGGTGCAAGGGGTTAAGATACAATCTGTGAAGCTATCGGCAGCCACTGCAGCACGAGTTTGATCCCTGGCCACGGAGCTACCCCACATGGCGCAGCAGACCTCTCCTGACTCGCCCACTGCTCCCCTCAGCAGTGTGTTTCAGTAGATCTGCCTGTTCTGTTCCTACTCTGTCTCTGGTGAATCTTCTGCCCCCACACACACCTCTGGCCTATTCCCCAGTTCGTGTATGCATAAATAAATAAATCTTAAAAAAAAGAAAGGAAAATGGTTAACATATGTAATGATTATCTTGGTCTGGGTGAATATTTCACACAGATACATATATCAAGTCATCACGTTGTACATCTTAAAATATATACTATACATATATATATCATAAACTGGCAAAATATGATTGTCATCTCAGCAAAGCTGGAGGAAAAAATATTAAAGAAAACCTTAACTGTATTCAAGCATGTTTATAAGTCAAATGTGTAAGAATGTAAAAATGATCATTTTTGACGATCATTTTCCCACCTCAGTAGATGCCCAATTTACAGTTCCACTTCAAAGATGAAGAATTACTTTGCCAAAGCTAACGATCTAATGCTTTCACTTGCCTGGCTACCCAGACCTCTCTGTAGTTCCCACAGCTAGCTCAGAACCATAATTAGCAGTCTCTAAACTCCCCAAAACACTCAGTCACTTCAGCTTCTGCTGTTTGTTTGTTTTTTTTAACTAAGAGCTTTTGAAACTTTTTTAAAAGAAAGATTTATTTATGCATACAAGAACGGGGGTACAGGCCAGATGTGCAGTGGGTGAGAGGATTCCCCAAAGACAGTGGGGAGCAGAACAGGCAAATCTACTGAAATACACTGCTGAGAGGAGTAGCGGGCAAGATAGGAGAGGTCTGCTGTGCCATGGGGACAGCTCACTGGCCGCGGATGGAGCTCAGGCCACAGCAGCTATAGCATCATTGCACTGACTTAACCCTGCACCACCAAGGAGGCCCCTTGAACTTCTTAATATTCTTTCCTGAACATTAACTAATAACAGTATTCAAGAAGAGATAGTGAGAAGCGGTGTAGTCTTGTAGAGAGAAGACTGGATACAGAGCCAGGCACCCCAGCATCTGCTTTTCATTTAAAACCTAAGATTTCTGATCTTCAATTTTCTTAGGACTAAAATGGGAATCATAATCCCCATCATCCTTCTTCCTTCAGGGTTCATGTGAACCTCAAAGCTTGTGATGCATTTTGCAAAACCTAAAGGCAATACGAAACTAAGAGTCTCTTTTTCGTTCATTCAACAAATGCTTAGTAAATGTCTTCAAGGTACAGAACCACCAGGCCAACACAGAGCCTGCAAAGATGAGGAAGCTGTCTTAGAGCTTCTACCTCCAGTTGCTTGCTGATCTTGAATGATTCACACTAAAACAATTTAAAAAACAGTAACAAGTGTTGGAGACGATGTGGAAAATTGAAGGCCTCATACGTTGCTGGTGGAAATGAAAAATGGTGCAGCTGCTGGGGAAAAAGTGTGGCAGTTCCTCAAAACCTTCAACACAGAGTTGTCATGGTACTCCTAGACATCCAGCCAAGATCAATAAAAACAATATGTCAACATGAAAACATACACACAAATGTCCTGGCAGTGCTATTCATCAAAGTTTAAAGGGAGGGGCCTCCTTGGTGGCACAGCGGGTCGAGTGCAGTGCTGTGAGGCTGTCTGCAGCCCCTATGGTACGGGTTCGATCCCCGGCCTGCCAGGGAGATACCCACATGGTGCAGCAGACTTCTCCTGCCTCGCCCACTGCTCCCCTCAGCAGCGTCTTTGGTCCGTCTGCCTGCTCTGCTCCCCGCTCTGTCTCTGGTGAATTCTCTCTCCCTCCCACACCTCTAGCCTGTACCCCAGTTCTTGTATAAATAAATACATCTTTTAAAAAAAATTTTGAAAGGGGGAAGCAGCTGGGGGAGGGTGGTGATGGCAAGTCCATCAACTGTTGAATGGATAAATAAAATATGCAATGGACTATTAATGGATAAATAAAATATGCAGTGCAATCACATGCAATGGACTATTTGGCATTTTATAAAAGGGACTGAAATACTGATGTATGCTACAACATGAATGAACAGTGACAATATTATGCTAAGTGAATGAAACTGTCATTAGCTAGTGAGAATGAGAGAGGATCCCCATGATCTCTGTGGAGTCAACCTTGCTAATCTTGATGATTTATTCCCCATAAAACTTCAGGGACACATGGCACAAATTTGTGTTTTTCCAAACTATAAATTACTGGATGATCTATGGGATCCCTCTTAAATGATCAAAGCATCAAATGTTACATATGCAGTAGATGTAAGAGCTCATAAAGCATCCTGCAGTGGTCCAGCCATGATGTGACAAGTAGGACAAATGGCATTCATAATTTAAACACGCTGTAGTAGGTAACCACAGTTCCGAAAAGTGGCCATTGCTCCATCACTCAACCTGCTCTAACAGTCCCCGCCTCTATAACCTCAGGTGGCCATCATTCAAGTCTACCCAGTCACACCAGGTCATGTCCATGTCCAAAGAAACTGACTCAGCAGCAACCTCATGGCCCAAGCCAGATTAACTGGCTTGCTTTGTTGAGAATTTAGGGGTTTTTTCTGGATTTAGAAAGGGAATGTCATTTTCCTTTCTGATGGGGAATTATAAGGATATGCCCCTAAACTGTTGGAAGCCATGAAAGAATAAAGCAATATCTAAAGGAAAGCCACACAGTAGGTAATTGAATAACTTAATTAAATAATTACCTACTGTGTGTCTAGAACTGTTCTAGGACCCAGGAGGACATTAATGAAGGGATGAGTATAAAGCTTTGATGGTATCAAGCCTTGGGTTCCTAAAACTCACAGGATCCCTATTTCAGCTGTGAGACGGGTAGCAGCAGAAACTATCACTTTCTAGTTATATCCTCCGGGCAGCGCTCCAGGTCTAAAGCTGCTTACAGCTTATCTGCAGTCCTCTGTGTAGGACCTTTTTCTGGCTGTAGAAGAACATTGGCCCATAAGCAAGCCAAGCCAAGCCCTGTCATCCATCCTCAACCAATAATGAAGGGACAGCTAGCAGATAAATGCCCTTTCCTCTTGCCTGTCAGTTGAAGTAATTCTGTCTCCCACTATCCCCAACAGGGTGGTGCCCAGTTTCCTAAGCAGTGACTTGCTGATTAACACACCCTCGTTGGCTTCCTTCCTTTCTCTGTCTCATTTCTTTACTCCCTGAAAGTATTTTCTTGGGATCATCTCCAAAATAAACTCTTTCCATTGAAATCCTTGTCTCAAGGTCTGATACTAGGGGACCCAAACCAAGACACCTGCCAGAAACATCCTTCCAGTGACTGAAAAATATAGGCATTGCTGGGCTCTCGTGAGAGTCCTAGTGCTGTAAAGTCTGGGTGGTCCAATTTAGTGGCACTGGGTTTTTAGTGGCACTGGAAGGTTTTCAGGACTGAATGTGTTTGGGCGAAAGGCGATGTACTCGAACTGTAAATTACATCATGGATTTCAAAGACCAGACCATGAAAGTTTGTATAATGCCATTAATGTTTTCATGATTCTACATTGATTACACGGTTGAAATAAAAACATTTTGGACACACTGGTTTAAAAATATCCTAATTTTGGGCCTCCCCGGTGGCGCAGCGGTTGAGCGCTGGGTTGCGAAACTGCGCGCGGCCTCTGCGCCGCCGGTTCGATCCCCGGCTGCTCCCCGGCCACCGGAGGAGGGTCCCACATGGCGCGCAGGCCTCTCCTGCCGCCCGCTGCTCCCCTCAGCAGTGTCCTTCGGTCCTTCTGCCTGCTCTGCTCCCCGCTCTGGCTCTGGTGAATTCTCTCACCCTCCCGTGCTTCTGACTGTACCCAGTGCATGTATAAACAAAAACAAACAAACAAACCAGCAAACAAATAAATAAAGCATGCCTCTATTAAAAAAAATAAATAAATAAATAAAAAATAAAAATATCCTAATTTTATTTGACTTGTTCCTTTATACTTTTAACATGATTACTACAAAATTTTACATTATAGATATGATTTCTGTGGACAGTACTGCTCACCCCGGGATCAGCTGTGATATCACTGCTTTCTGTCCCACTCAAGAAA